TATGTGTACCTGCATGTGTGTCAGTGTGTGTGTCTCTGTATCTGCATGTGTGTCAGTGTGTGCCCCTGTGTATCTGTCTGTGTCTGTGTATCCGTATAACTGTCAGAATGTATGTTAGTGTGTGTTTGTGTAACTGCATGTGTGTCCATGTATGTATCTGTATGTGTGTTATTGTGTGTATCTACATATATGTCAAGGTTTGTCTGTTTGTCTGTTTATCTGTGTTATAGTGTGTGTGTCTGCATGTTTGTCTGTGAGTGTACTGTATATCTGTATGTGTGCCAGTGTGTATCTGTGTATGCACCTGTGTTTCTGTGTATCTGTCTTTGTATGTCTGTGTATTTAGATGTATGTACCTGTGTATGTCTGAGCCTGTGTATGTGTGAGTCTGCATTTGTGTCAGTGTTTGCATCTGTATGTGTGTCTGTGTGTGTATTTTCACTAGGTAAAAAATAAGTGTGGTTAAGACTACTATTTATTGGTGTGTGTGTTTTTATTGTGTGTGTCTTTGGGTGGAAGGCGTGTTTGCATGCTAGAAAGTGGGCTGGAGGGAACCAGGGGGCCCCAGTCCTCATTAAAGACTGCCCTGTCTATGGTATGATTAAATTCCTTCTATTAGGCCTTAGCAAAGAGGTGGGTGAGGTGAGTGGTGGCTCTTCGGTCTTCGGATACAATGGTATAGAACATAGATATTAGTTTAAGAGGGGGTTTGCGTTTAAGGCTAATTTGTTCCATCACCGTCATATCTGACATGGACATCATTTCGTCATGTAATTAATTTGTCTGATATTAATTACATTAATTCCAATCTGCCCTCCAATTAAAATCCTCAAATGCCTCCGCCTCGTAGCACGGTATTTCAGTTCGCCTTTTGGTTGGAGTTAACTTAGGATATTCTAATGTAAACATGCAACTAAAATTGCTGACATCTTCAGGTCCGTCAATGGTGGGCACAAATGGTGGCGTCACATTCTTTAATAATAATGCAGCCCAGTCTATGTGCTGGAAAGGAATGTACATCATTGAGTAAATCAGTAAAATAACTATATATAACACAGAATTACAGATAATATGTCCAGAAAGCTACATTCTGTACAGATCCCAATGGGATTCTTTAAACTGATTGTCAAATTCCCTTAAAAGAACAGTCTAAGCACCATAACCACTACATTAATCTGTAGTGGTAATGGTGCCATGAGTTCCATGGCCCCCTACTAGTGTGTGAAGCCAAGCTGTTTGTGAATGGTTTGACAACTTACCTGTGGTCCGCCGGTCGCGTCTCCTCCGCAGTCCGGAAGCTTGCTGCACTCTCCTAGCCTGGGGATGCATGGAGGTACTCATTGGCTGAGAATACTAAGCTAACACTCTCAGCCAATGATCTGATCGTGAACAGTGCACAACGGACCCCAGGTAAGCTGTCAAATCATTCACAAATGGGAGGCTGCAGTGGTTATGGTGGTTATGATTACAGGGGGCACCAGGCAGGTTTCCAGTTTGCTCCCCATTCTTCACATAGGGAGCTGGTGGGATAGTAATCTGTTAAAGTGACAGCTTCATGTTTGATATGGTGAGATTCCTTCTTTTCCTGGCCCACTAACTGCTGGTGATGTGTTTATGGAGGTAAAGTTAGCAGCACAGAAAGTTATAACACTTACTGCTGCTGCGGGTTCTGGGTGATCAGATACACAAGCTGGGTATAATTTTACCATGATTCCTTAAATGGATGTAAATAGGACACTATGTTTTCTAATCACACAACTAACTTAGAATGTTAATTCAGCTGTTAGAATGAGTCTTTCCTGATAATTCCATCTTAAAGGGACTCTGTCACCTGGGATGTGGGAAACTAAACAGCAGAAGTTCGACCTCGTGTTAACCTCAGACCTAACCCTAAGACAAAGCAGTCCCTACTTTATCCTAAATTATCTTTGGACTATGTTAGAATTTCAGTGACATTTCAGTGCACTCAGCATGAGTATTTCATAGATTTTATCTTAACGAGATGCTCAATAATATGTTTTTCTTGACTAAAAACGAATAAGAAGTTCTATTTCAAAATGTACGTACTTGGAAAAAAGGGTGCGCCTTAACGTCCTGGGCGTCTTTCTTGCCGGCTCCTAGTCGTGCCTTTACTTTTTTAGTGAGAAGCTGTAATGGGGAATTTTTTTTTTTAAATATACATATTGTTTATTTTAATAATAAACATCAGAATTACATTTTCTGTGAAGGTAGAGTAACGGATGTCGTTATCACTCACGCTGTGTAATGCAGAAATCAACAAGCAGAACATGTCACTGCTGCCCGGACATTGTCCTGACTGCTGGCATGATTCATGGTTACTGCTTGCTAGCTTCCTGTTTATTATAATCAATGTAGGGCTCTAAATATCTGCAGCTTAACCAATGTCTGTCTGTAACCCAGGTATGGATAGCAGAGGGGGGCAGGTGTTTCCCCCCAAGCAGCAAGCCAAGTACCAGACACATAAAGCACCACCCACATACGTACATTGCGACCACAACACTTTCCTTTTCTTCTCTGCTGTCCCTTTAAGCATAACTCATGTAGTGCAGGGCAGATGGCTTGAAAGAGCCTGGCACTCGGAGCTAGCAACCAGCCTCCTCCCTGTGTCAAGCTCAGTACTTACTTGCCCCATGCACTTCTTAATTGCCATACCACTTCCTCATCATGGTTGTTATGTGTGAGACTGAAAGCATTTTCTCCTACTCACATGATACTCCTCAGAGAGAGTGGACGGAGTATGTGACACCATTGACAGTACCCTATGCAACCTCTTCTGGGAATGGAGGCAACATGATGGATCACTAGGAGGGCTTGCTGGCTGGAGAGACTCATAATGTAAGTAAGTAAGTTTGATTAATTAAACCACCATTTCTTTATTGATATTGTCATTGTATTTTTGAGACCAGCTAAGTGATATATGATGGGAACTGGCATGGAGAAGTGGCACAGTTACAATGGCATGAGGTACTAATTGGACCCGCAAGTGAATGAGGCATGTGACGGATTAATATCATATCTGACATGGACACGGATAGAGTGGACAGGGCAGGTGACATGTGCAAGCAGACAGTGGGTAGGGCAAGTGGCACGAGGGAGTGGCATGGCAATTAAGAAGTGCATGGGGTAATTAAGAAGTACTGAGCTTGACACAGGGAGCAGGCCAGTTGCTCGCTCCGCGTGTTGGGCTCTTTCAAGCCAACTGCCCTGCACTATGTGAGTGATGCTTAAAGGGACAGCATAGAAGAAAAGGAAAGTGTGGTGGTAGCAATGTACGTACGTGGGCAGTGCTTTATGTGTTCGCAGCACGAGGTGTCCCTTGATGTTATAATCTATCTGTCTTCACAATAAAAGACTGGGCTCTGGATCTACCCTGCGCTAACTACCCACAACTATATTGTTATACAGGGCGCTAGTGGGTGCGCTGTATGTCATGGAAATATTAAATATTAGTGTCTTATGGCTAATGAATAATGAATCATTAAGGATGTCATAGAATGAATAAGCAGATACTCAGGGTTTTGGTTTAATTCTCAGTAATAATGAATGTTTTGTTGTAGAGGCTGCAGGATGCCCACGAAACATCTGATACACATATGGTTAAAAACTGCAGTACTTCCCTTTTGCTGAGCGCATGTGCAGGAACGCTAGACATGTTTACTGCTAGGAAATACTTGTGGCGATATCAATACTCTCGCTATTTGGGTATTATGTTGGGCAGTAACGAAGGTGGCAGACCATCTCGGAAATGCCTGAGAGCCATATGACCATATATTGGGACAAGAGCTGTACATGATCAGGGTCAGGACCTATGTCCAGGAATGCTAAGAATATTCATGCGCAGTAATGTAGGAAATGAATAAAGTAATAGTTAATTGGTTATTAATTACTGCAGTAATGGGAGTAACCCTTACATATCTTGCTTACGTATGAACTACATCATTTATGATATATAAGCTCTGTTAACTACGGACTGGGGCCCAGTGTATTTTAGACACGAGTCAACACTGTGTTAATTCTGCGCAGAATAAAATAGTTTGTGTTTTCCACTGATCCGTGCCCAGTGTGTTTATGTGACTTGATTCTTGAAATACAGCTAATACTGCTATTACAGTTTCTTTACCAGCATTAACACACAGATAGTTACATCCAATTTAAGGTATTGAGATATGTGTATGACCAGTAAGTAAGAAAACTGATACATTCCCTCTTCTAAAGATCATCGGAACCTCCATTCTTTTCTACACACTTTATATCACTATCTTACTTGTGTCAAACCATTCATATAAAGTAATGGTGCAATATGTTGGGATGTGATGTCATAAATTATTACTGTACTTATTAGACGCAAGGCTCCACGCAGAGGGTCTAATCCTGAAACCTCCAAGAACTTAGAATTCATTCATCCTATGGCAGCTCGCCAGGATCAATTTCCCTCGTCAATGGACGGTTTGATCATGGCTCATATAATCTATTACATTTATTAAACACTAAACATGTGTGGCGACTAACCTGTCTTATTATCGAAGTAGCGTTTCTTGATAGAGATTCTGGATATAGAAATTTTCCTTTGATGATACTCGCAGTCAGCATGTCTATATCAAGGCTTTCGAAGGGGAACTAGAGAATAAATACAATTTTTTTAAAAAAAACTCGATTTCAGTTTGTAAAGTTGTAAACTACAGGAATCAACAGCTGAGCAATAATTGAATAGTTTAAGGTTTTTATAATGTTAGTAGTACAGATGGTATAATATTTAAATTAGTATGCATGAAAGGTGTGTGGTGCGAGTGCATGAATGTACGAAATGTACAAGAGAACCGAACGCTGTTATAATATACATCATCAGGGGATGCTCTGTGATTGGCTGGAATTTCCAATAAGCCGAATGATTTGCACACCAGCAGGGAATCTCCATTTTGACTAAGGGCTGGAAGGTCTATATTATATTTTATCTCTCCTGGTGTTTTTATTTACTTTTAATATGGTGTATTGATTTTTGTATTTTGTTCGGGTATAATGGGCTATGATGGCTTTATTTCCTTTTTGGCAGAGACATAAATACAATCAATAAGGAAGACTTCGACAAGTAAGTATTGAGCTTGTTTTATGTATTAGGGCCCAAACTATTGGGCATTCTCTTACCGTACAGGTATTAGCCAGGGAGCAGTATACAGAGGGTCACACACTATGTACACACAGCTATCAAACAGTCACCAAAGGACTAAGTAACCAGGGACCAGGGGCATAAGATAGAGATAATTCATTGGAAAGAGATTTATTTCACTATCTGGGAATGGTACAAGCAAATCACGGAGTGGGAGGTGTTTGGGTATTGGGGAACCAGGGGTCAGGGGTTAATTGAGAGGGGGTTATAACAACTAGGAATGTATCTCTCGGGGGATCTATTTTGGGAAGGGAAAGGGTTAATATGCAGGGGAATGTTGGGATGTAATATTAATATTGCAATACCAAAATAAAAACAGCTTGCAAAAGCCACAGATCTCTTAACTGCAGCGTTTACAAACCCTCCCCTTCTAACCCCGCCCAGACTTTCTGTGGCTGTCCAATCACAGACCTCCCAATGCAGCTCAATGAGAAGTCTTTGCAAGGCAGGTGCTCTGGGCCATTGCTGCCTCTTGGCTTTATCTCCCCTGAGCTAAACAAACCAGGAAGTAACAGGACCATTTGTATGATTGACAGCAGAGCTGTGTAACAAGGTTAATTTACCTTGAAATCTGCATGTTTTATAAAATGAAAATGGACACTGCGTAAATAAAACATTTCAGCAAGCTACAATGCTTTAGGTGTGTGGAGTGCTCCTTTAAATTGGTAGAGTCTCTTTGGATTTGCAGAAAAGAAATCTGTTTACAAATTCCTGTTGAAAGACTGTTCTTACCTTTCCAGACAGCATTGCATAACTGACCACTCCAACGCTCCACCAGTCTACAGCTCTTGTGTACGGCTTGCCCTTTAAGACTTCAGGAGCTGCGTAAAGCGGTGTTCCCCAAGGGGTCCCGGTTGTGTCTCCGTATCCGATTCCTCCGAAATAAGGAAAACAGAATTGGGTATAAGTTGAAGATAGATATTCAGTTTTAGCAAATTCTATTTGGAATGACTTTCAGTTAGACTGATCTGTAATCTTAATTGAACATGCTAACGGGTTAGCTCACGTCTGGTGACATGTTTCTGTATTGGATCTGATATTCCTATAAGAATATAAATGAATAGATATTGCTGAGATTGTTATTCAGTGGAGCTTGAATTCACTCCATAAACCTTTACCCAGCAGCAGTTTATGGGATGCTGTCAGACACGGTTCTCCATGTCGGTAACCACAGGGGTGTGAAAATATAAAGGACTAAAGCAGTAGCCCAATCTCCTTTAATAGTTTCAATTAGAATAATTGGGGGTTTGCCTACCTGGAGCCCTATGCATAGTGTCTCACCCTCTGCCCTCCCAGTAATATCTCCTTCTGTTCCTCCCCAGTGTGTGTGCTGGCTGTGTGTAATGTGTGTGTGCATCCAACACTGCCTGCTCAGCCCTGGATAGAGACTGAGTAAAAACATTTTAGCTTAAAAGGGGGGCCGCATAACCTGAAAGACCCCATGGACACTTTAAATTAAAAATAAATACTTTTACTGTTACAGAGTTTCTTTTGGAATGAAGCACACATTTTATACACATCATTTTATATATTAAAAGGTTGTTTATATGAAAGCTAGCTCTGACATTGCCGGGACATTTTGACCTCACTAAGTGAGAATACCTTTATCAAAATGTATGTTTTAATTATAAAATTATATTTACCTTCTTTGCAAAGACCAAAGTCTGTGATCTTTGCGAAGCCTTTTTCGTCTAGAACAATATTCTCTAATTTCAGGTCTCTAGATTAAAATACAGAACATTACGTTTTATTCATTTTACATAACACTAGAGGGACTTAGGTTTAGGATTCACTCTTTAGGCTATTTAAATGGTTAACATGAATAACTTACTATAAACAAACAGGGTTAAATACAATAACACACATATCACGGACACACCATGTGTAGTTTTTTTCTATAATCTTACCGGTGGACGATCTTCTGTTGGTGTAAGAACTCCAGTCCCAGGACGACACAGGCAGAATAAAATCTGGGAATAATAAATAAATCTGTTACTTTCTAGAAGATGAAGTGTTTTATTACTAACTGGTTTAATTCCGTATATTCCAAGTCACTCTGTGTTCTGACATATTGCATTAATTCCCAGGTTTCCTTCTGCTCTCTCACTGCTGGTGGCAGGTTATTTATCAGCTGATACAATGGTGATTGGTCGTTTACCATTCACAGCTGGTTCCATTCACCAATGCCGATGCTTCCAAGACCGTAAGCTATAGTTGGTGCACACAGCGGTGTATGTAACCGCACTGATACAGCATTGGACACATACAGCAGGCAGATATACAGCAGCCCATGGGATATACATCACGTTATAAAGTATGAAGTCATTTTTAATATGTTTGTTAATGGCTAATCATGTTTACACTCGATCTAAAACCCACAGAGCTAGCTATCTTTGAACATTGGATTAGACCTGCAGCTTATACTCACACAGCTCTGGGTTCTGGAAATGGACCTTGCTTGAGGTGTGTCTTTAGGTCGCCCCCAGCAGCATATTCCATCACAAAAACGGCGTGATCTTGAGTGTGGAAACTGCCAAACATGTTAATTAGAAATGGGTGACGCCTGTTGGTCACAGCTTGAAATACCCGCTTCTCAATCAGAAGGCTGGAAAGGAAAAATAAAAGTTAAAAGTCATTTTCCCCCGATCTCCAAAATAAATTGACAAACAAAAGACAGAAAACATGACCTTTTCTTTCCAAAAACCATTAATTGTTCTTCATTTACTGACCAATCGAGTATTGATGATGATTCTATGTCTCCTTTTCTTATTACTTTCAAGGCATACATATTGCCTGTGTCCTTGTATTTAGCCAGCAGAACCTGAAATTAAAACGAACAAATTATTGTGCTGCATCTGTTAAGACATCCGTTATATCGAACTAGAATTGGAATTCCACCTTAAACTTACTTTCCCGAAGCTCCCTCTACCGAGCACAGAGCGGAGCTTGAAGTCCTCCATGGTGAGAGGAATCCGGAGACGAATACTGCCAAGAAAGGAAAACATTCAGAAATTATTTAAATTGTCCCAAACACCCCCCACAATAAAAAGACTTAGAATAAAAGGCTCCTGTAACACAGGTAAGTAATCATACCGCACGTCTGGTGTTGGGTTTGTAATCATTTCTTTGCTATCGCTGGTATATTCGTGGCCTTCTCCAAAATCCTAGAAAGGAAAACCATACATGATAAAAGGATTTTTTGTGTTACCTATCTGCAATGTATACCAATGCATACCACTAAAAGCATTTCCCCTGAGATTCTCTGTTTACCTTTAATGATTTAGGAAATGGCAAAGGATGAGAAATAGAAGCATTGTCTAATGTCTACTCTCTCGCTATGTTTTCTCTATCGGAGGTTATATTAATGATTGACAGGGAGTTACAAGAACTACAAGAACCAGATTTAGCCCGAGTTCAACCATCAATGTCGGCATAGGGGACATGTGGACCAGCCAAGCCCTTATTTGTCCAAAAGTTCCTAAATGGTCTAACAAAAATATAAGTGGGCTAATATCCACAGAATCATTGCACCATAACTACATTACTGTGCTATAATGGTTATTGTACACAGAGTGATCATTTTTTGATGAAGTTTAGAGGTAAAGAACAACCAGCACATCTGAGAGCTTTACCTGAGCCAGGAAATCCGGGAACTCAATATAAATTGAAATCTCACGCAGAATGCTATATAAAAATGTCTGACTTGGAGCAGGAGCAGCCTCTACGTGAAGTTCCACATCCGGTAGGACAATTGGTTTCATAGAGAAGAGTTGAAAATCGCTATCAGAAGGAAGAAAATTATAGTTTATCTAGTTGTCATATCACTATACTCTTTATATCTTAGACAATGATGCTGCTATATTCAAGACATTATTTAACCCCCACAACAGACATATAGATAATCAGCAGGTATGGTGGTATAAACTGAGATGGATTCAGGTCCTAACAACATTGATGAGAAAGATGTAAAGTGAATACCCAGCCGGCTCTGGCTCCTGTGTGTCCGTCACCAACATCGAAGGGGCAGCAGTATTAATGTCCGTCTCCGGAGCTGGTAACGATGGTTGTTCTGTAAAGATTGAGATATAATGTAAGTAATGTATATTATACACGGTGATTAATAATACTTCAATAATTCTAAACTCAATGCAACAGAGAATCTAGCAAACACCACTATATCCAAGCCTAGACTTTATGATATTTAATTTATAAAATAATATAAAATGTATTTGCACCTTCTCATTACTCCCTTTACCTCCCACTTCTAAGAGCAAATGCAAAGACAAAACAATTGGAAGATACAGCTGTACATTTCCTCATAAAACCTTGGAGTGTAGACATTTATGGGATACGTACAGATCTCTTATACCTCCTTGTAAGAGAGTTAAAGCTTGATGTGGTTATGGTACAAGTCCTGCCCTGGCACCCCATTATTAGACGTCAGGTGCCGCTACCCTGCGTCCACTACCAGCGACGGAGAGCCGAACGCTCCTAAACAGGAACTTCTCTTAGCTCTCTTGATCTGAGCCCGGAGCAAGCCCTGCGGAGCCGTTCTAATACAATCTGACTCCTTACAAAGCAGCCACAAGGGCACTACTGGCACAGTAACTGGCCTGTAGTGGTTATGGTGCTCGGATTGTTTCTTTAAAGTTTAGTCACATCCCGGGACGCTGTACCTCCACAGGTGACTTATGGATCACTATATATAAAAACAGTCGGCATCCAGAATATCTCATGGCCCAGACACACAGCCAAACTCTAAAAAGTAGAACTCTCAAAAATATAAAATACGTGTTCATTGTTACCCATTAATGTTATTTCAAACTGTATACGAGGACAGAACGTTTACCTTTTATAAGAGCCTGGATTCGACTGCGCAACCTGGCTATTTTATTCTCGCTGTCTTGACGTTTTTCCAGGACAGCAGCAATATGGTGGACATTCTGTAACAGTAGTAAGAATAGTCAGATAGCTGATTAAACTGTATGGAGAAATATAGGATCAATTAACCTCATTCTAGGAAATTAACTACTTACAACCCAGGATACATGTGGACGAGGATTTGTTCTCAAACAATGATTTTTACCCAGATATTAAAGTATTATTAAGTCAGTTCCAGGCAATCCTTGTACATGCAGGGACTATAAATCCAGTTCACTTTGTTTCCCTTTCAGTATACGAGAGCCTTAATGGCTCAAAATACAGCAGCGGAATGCTTGCATCTGGGGGGAAAGGCACTAGGCACACTACAGTGCTTCCTTGCAGGCAGACTGAATTATAGACACACATTATGGAAAAATAATCTTTAAAATCAGAAATAAAACAATAAAAAACATGCATCCTTTCTACTTAGAAATTTGAAAAGTGCTTCAGGGGTGATTAAGAAAAGCCTTCAACTATTTCACTGTGAGAGATCTCGGGAAATCTAGTTGGTAATTTGTATCACCTCCCTGTGAGGGTGTAAAAGGCATGTCATGTAAAAGGTGTAAGAGCGTTTTGGGAGTTGCCCCTCCCCCATCAACAATTTAAAAAAGTGTTCTTTCTTTTCAAACTCAATTTCAATGTATCAGACTTACTTTGGGAGGATCATTGGAATAAGCTTTGATCAGATTCTCTGCTCCCTGCTTCACCTTCAGCTCAATGTCCAGCTGTTTCTGCAAAGCACTCAGCTTCACGTTGTCTGCCTGGGAGCTGGTGTCACTTGTAGGAACATCTGAGATCTCTGGACATCCCGGGAATTAGTAACAAAATAAATACAACATTTGGAAATGTCAGCAGACAGTATCACTCAATAAATAAATAAGACAGTTACATTAAGTAGAGTAGGTAATGCCATTATAGGTGACACAGTCCGAGAGAGCAGCTTTAAATAAAGCAGTATAAACACTGAAAGAAAAGATAAATACAGAGTAAACAATAAAAATCGCAGCTGCTAGAAGTCCCCCGTGCTTGATGACATCACAGAAAGACGCCATGTACATGCCTTCCAGTTTCAATAGATGTCAGTGAGATAGATCTATAGAAAATATTGTATCGACTCCAGTCTTTCATGGACATTTCTAGGAATACTCCAAGTTTGGTTTAACTCCTTACCAGGGTCCCGCCAGGTGCCTGTGACCACATCCCGTGTATTCAGTCTTCTCTGGCAAGAGAATGCAGATTGCCCGATTAAGCAAAGTAGGGCCATGCAGCTGAGCTCCCTCTAGCCAATGAACATGGTCCATTAATGGCCATGCTTTATTTTATAGGGACATCCGACTTCTCTGGTTGGAGAACATTGAATGCAGCAGATGTGGCTGCAGGTTCCCTACAGGACGCAGGTAAGTTGTCACATCATATAACAAAGGTTTGACATTTTACAATGAGATGGTACAAGGATGCTCCTGGCACCATAAATCCTATATCTGTAGTTGTTATAGGGCCTGGTGTATTTCTTTAATACGCTGTATTTAGTTAAAGGAGTACCATAGTGCCAGGAAAACAAACTCGTTTTCCTGGCACTATAGGGTCATTAGGTCCCCCCCACCCTTTAGGGCCCCCTCCCGGTTGGGCTGAAGGGGTTAAAACCCCTTCAGCCACTTACCTTTATCCAGCGCCGGGCTCCCTCTGAGACAGCCACTAGAGGCTGGATTAACCTTCAGTGAAACATAGCAATTTCTCTGAAACTGCTATGTTTTCAGCTGCAGGGTTAAAACTAGAGGGACCTGGCACCCAGACCACTTCATTGAGCTGAAGTGGTCTGGGTGCCTAAAGTGGTCCTTTAATTGTTAAATGGGACCCATTTATATTTCTGTAAAACTAACAAGGCACAGCCTTCCTCGGAACTATTTATTTAAATCTCCATGTTTTCACGCTATATAATGTCGGTGATCTGATGCCCAATAAAGTCTACAATCTCATATTCAAAATATGTGCAATAACTGATCACAACGTTATGATTTCCTCTTTTAAAGTCTCTAAAATATCCACCTGATTGTAAAATGAAAAAGCAACAGTTATTACTGCTATGACCCACCAGTACTTTCCAATGAGATGTCACTTGTAGAAGAGTTCAGGTCAACAGTGGAGAAACTATCACTAGCTGACGAGCGACTGACAGGTTGGAGAAAGTCTTGAGTCTCTGGAGACTCTGAAAATTAAAAAGAAAGACAGATCACTATGTGATTTTACAGATAGTATTGTTCAATCAAGGTTAGAAAGACTACATAATACATAACCTTTTATTTAAACAGACACTTCATGTATTATAATAACCCGTGAACTTCCAGATATTTTGTTGTGAGAAGCTACGCTTTCTGTGCTTTTGTTTTTCTGATTCTTATATCTACAATATTTAGAGAAAAGGAGCGCCAAGCTGCCCCGGTTATAGTACTATCCCCGCAATCTGACGTCTTTTACAGATTTCATGGGGAGAACATTTGTTATGTTTACACGAGTGGCCACCACTAGCTCCATCCATTTAAAAACATGACTGGAGAACGTAGCTCAAGAAACAGTTTGACTTTTACTGAATGAAACTACTGCCAAGTGCTGAACTAGACACACCTGCTGAGTTTATGGGAAATGCTCAGCATTGTCATTATAAATAATGGGAACATTAAGATTGGCTGAACCTCCAGATACATTCTGCTATCAGACAGGAGTGGATTATGGGTAGGAGGCAGTCCCCCTGTATGGGGAGACACATAAGGTGGTACGGGGGTTAGGAAAGACTCATTACAGGTGTCTGGAAATATATAAAAGGGGAGCTACCTTTCTGAAAATATTAACTTAGGAAACAATCGAACTATCGAAATCTAAATGTTAAGGGGTTCCACCAATCACCATGACCAGCTCAGTGATTTGAAGTGGTCATGGTACTTGGAGTCTGTACATACAGAGATATTTAGATGAGTGTCGTTAGCCAGTCTGGAATGAGAGTTCTGTGCCAGATAATGTGAATTCTGTGCATATTCCACGCACAGAGGGTCATTCTTTGGCTGAGAGAGCTCAGTTGACATTCTCAGTCACTGAATGACTAGTGGTATTGGCGCCTGGCTTCTGAAGCTCTGCGCCTGGCAGAACCCTGGTAATAGGGCAAATCATTGCAAAATGGTTTGCCCATTACTGGTGAACTGGGCCAGGGTACTCCTAGCATCATTACCATTACACAGGGCTATAGGTGTTATGATGCTTGGAGTTAGAATTTAATTATAAGCCATAAACAAGAGTTTATGAGAACGATAAGAATTGACCGGAACTCAGTGATGGGTCCACATTCAGGTCTCATACATCACATTAGGTAGTCGTATATCAGACTGATCCAACCCACAAGGGCAGCCAGATCTGCTCCCTCTGCACGAGACATACAGCAACCCCAGACAATCTTGCAGAGAGAATATTTGTGATCTTGATCCCTCTTGTCTGGATATACAAGGGTCCATAGTCCTCCCTGTAATGGATCTTCTGAGACATGGGCCAGGGCTGACTGAAGGATGAGTTATTAAGCGTTGCCTGTTCTCAGTATTCTCGTATCTTCTCTTTGTTTTACTAAAATGTATATAATTTAATTAAATGACAAACTGCGGACTGCCCCATACAATATAGCACAGGAGCTCTTTAAGCTATAACTCTGACACGATTGAATGCCAGAATAGCAGAATGAAGCACTAATTATGGAGAGAGTAACAGTAATATGACAGTTTGTGCCCCTTCGTTCTCTCTGCAATGTGCCGGCAATGAAGCCGCCATGAGGGTGTCAGAAGAGAAGGAACGTTCTGCTAGGGGAACTGTCACAGTGCTTCCCAAATAGAGAAGTGGAGATAGGGGACAAGTATCAAAGCAGCGTTATAGAGAATGTAACACCAACTGGAATAGAACAGGTCGCTCTTACCAGACTGCGGGAGGATATTATACCAAGTTACAAAATACAGAGAGCTTTTATAAAATGCTAGAACTGGTTCAGTCTCCATGGAAATCAATAGATATACACTGACATATATACAGTATGTCACAAAAGTGAGTACACCCCTCACAATTTTGTAAATATTTTATTATATCTTCTCATGTGACAACACTGAATAAATGCCACTCTGCTACAATGTAAAGTAGTAAGTGTACAGCCTGTATAACAGGGTAAATGTACTGTCCCCTCAAAATAACTCAACACACAGCCATTAATGTCTAAACCGTTGGCAACAAAAGTGAGTACAAATTGGGCCCAATTAGCCATTTTCCCTCCATGGTGTCATGTGAATCGTTAGTGTTACCAGGTCTCAGGAGTGAATGGGGAGCAGGTGTGTTAAATTTGGTGTTATCGCTCTCACACTCTTTCATACTGGTCACTGGAGGTTCAACATGGCACCTCATGACAAAGAACTCTCTGAGGATCTGAAATAAAGAATTGTTGCTCTACATAAAGATGGCCTAGGCTTTAAGAAGATTACCAAGACCCTGAAACTGAGCTGCAGCATGGTGGGCAAGACCATACAGCGGGTACACAGGACAAGTTGCACTCAGAACAGGCCTCGCCATGGGCGAACAAAGAAATTGAGTGCACATGCTCAGCATCTGTGATGGACCACATGGCACCCCGACTGGGTTTCTCTGCAAATTGTTGCTTCCTAGCCGTCGCTGAGTACCATCAACACTGCACTGGACACCATAAGCACCATGGCTCTAAAGCTGCCGTAGCTTGGCTGGGGTCTCGCCGTCCCTTCTCACCCTGGACCAACTCCTGGATCCAGCTCCCAGTGCGAAGACCTCTCCTCCACGAGAGTATAGTAGGTATAGCAGTGTAGCTCTTGCAAGAACTAGTGATTATAGCCCTGGGGAGTATTGTGATATAGCAATCCCCAGAGCAGAGAGACCTGCCTCCCCCCCACACATGACATGAGACTCTATGTTGGTGATAGGCAGGTACTCATTTATTGGCAGTCTCAACTGGACTTATATGCAGGTCCCCATGCAAGGGGCACTGCCCCCTGGACCTGAGATGAGACTACCGTAAAAACAACCACACAATGACATTGGCTCTCAGGTCCAGGACACTCCCATACACAAATAAAATAATCCCTCCTCTGTGTCTGGGAGATAATTGGATTATCTTAGTACAGTTCCTGATTCAATTATCTCCAATCATAGAAAAACATACTTTTTAACAGTACCCCGAAACTACCCCCAAAACCCATGGAAACCCCACAAAATTTCCTGGAAGTCATAGTTTTGAACGACGGCACGCATGGTCCCATGCCCAAAACAGTTCCATGAAATCAGTGCTAACGGTCAGTCAACTTCGGTAGTCTTTTACAGGTTTCCCTGCAGGGCCCATATAGTCTATGGGCAGGAGGCTAGCTGGCAAGCTCCTCCAGGAGCTCGTGGCAAACTAACATGGGAAGGGGAGTTTGTCACAGAGGGTATGTTAATCCTAATGCATCCTCAAACGGAAGGTGGGGGAGCGCAAGGTCTCTAACATCCACCAGCTCCGTGATGTCGTCATGGAGGAGTGGAAGAGGACTCCAGTGACAATCTGTGAAGCTCTGGTGAACTCCATGCCCATGAGGGTTAAGGCAGTGCTGGAAAATAATGGTGGTCACACAAAATATTGACACTTTGGGCATAATTTGGACATTTCCACTTAGGGGTTTACTTACTTTTGTTGCCAACGGTTTAGACATTAATGGCTGTGTGTTGAGTTATTTGGAGGGGACAGCAAATCTACTGTTATACAGGCTGTACACTTACTACTTTACATTGTGGCAGAGTGGCATTTCTTCAGTGTTGTCACATGAAAAGATATAATAAAATATTTACAAAAATGTGAGGGGTGTACTCACTTTTGTGAAATACTGTATATAGCAATCACGCACACAATGTTTTAATGTACCTGGAAGTTGATCTACTTTCTGCTCAACAGCATCAGGTATCTGACGTCTGGCGCGCTGAAAAAGCAGAAACAAATACAATTAGAAAACAAAAGGCACTTTGCAAGAAAAATGCTCAAACAGGATAGCGCAGATAACTTTTTATTTGTTCTGTGTATTTGGGCTGATGAATACTATAGCCACTGCTGCCGCCCAAGAGTAGTGGGAGTTTGATTCCATGGGTTTAAGTTTGTGTAGCATGGCATTATTTCATTGAAGTTGTTATGGTGTGTGGAGGCCCAGTGTTACATATATAAGTGTTAACCTGTTCTATCCGGTTTAACACTAAAGATGTGACTCCGGTCTCTGTCTGCTCAGCTCAGGTTAAAGCAGAAGTTGTGTGAGCAGTGAGAAGGGTCAGTGATTGGCTGAGAGAGTCAGCTGCCCATCGTTAGCTAATATCCTTTATTCATGATTGGCTGAGAGTGTTAGCTGACGCTCTAATCCAGCCACTGCCGGCTTTTCACTACTTGCGCTAATGTTCCCGTATTACTCCACGTAGGAAAGGAGAGACCTTAATGGCAGACATTCGAGAACGATTTAACACTTAAATCTTACTACACTACATTTGCATTTATTTCTCTCACTTTGTTTTCTATGAGAATATACCTGCCTTATTGCACTGACACTTTAAGTGATTTATGTCCCATTTATTAGTATTTTGCAGCCAAGACCCTTTTTATTTAAGTTACCATAATATTAAAAGTTCTGGAAAGTGACTGTTAGCCTTGATAAACCATTAGAAGGTCTAATTTATTTACTAAACCCAGACTTCATCAAACAATCAAGAAATGAAACGTGGCTGCTTTAATGGCAAACTCGAAGCAAACTAACCATTCTAGCTCGCTGTAGTGGTTATAGTACCTGGAGTGTCTTGGCGCTATCCCTGGTTTAATATCAGACCATTTAGGCTCTTCCAAGTACCTGGATACCCCCCTCCACAGCCACAATGATAGGAATTAACACTTCTATATTATCAATGCACATTATAGGAAGCCTGGATGGTATTGATTGGCTGAGAGCTCTGGGTTACCCCCCATCCATCACAGCAGTCCAGGTTGGATGGAATACACATTTATAGCGTTAAACTGTCAATTCCACATTATCATTATGGCCAAGGGGGGGTGTCTGGGTGACAGGTAGAGACCTCTCATTTATCAAAATGCTCCCAAATGGTTTAACAACAAAAAGTGAGTTAATACCCACAGACTCATTGCACCATAACTACTTCAGAGAACATCCAGCAAGTTAGAGCTTTACCTGGGCCAGTATATTCTGGATCTTAACATAAGCTGAAATTTCATGCTGAATGTCATCTAAGAATGTCTGACTAGGCGTCTCAAAGTCATGTTCCACATCCGGTAGGGTAATTGGTTTCAAAGGTAAGATTGGAAAATCGCTATGAGAAGGAAGAAAAGAATAGTTTATCTGGTTGTCATATCACTATATTATTATATCGTAGACAATATTGCTGCTATATACCAGACATTATTTAAAGGACACCCCAAGCATACTTCTCACTAGTGTTGCCGATTTCTGTCTTTGGACCGTATAGAATTCTACATTCTGTGCTTCCTGTGTGACATCCAAAGCACTCTCACACTCTGCCTGGCAGAATGCAGAATTCACAGGAGTCCTGCAAAGATAAGGAGATCTGGCGACACAAGCATGCAAGCTGTAGGCAGCCGTATAAAATGTATCTGTGATTGATACGCATGCTAAGAAATGTGTACACAGCCGTAGACAAACACACGACAGACGTATTGATAACCAGCAGATATGGTGGTATTAACTGGGATGGATTCAGGTCCTAACAAAATTGATGAGAAAGATGTAAAGTGAATACCCAGCCGGCTCTGGCTCCTGTCTCTCCGTCACCAACAGCGAAGGGACAGCAGTATTAATGTCCGTCTCCGGAGCTGGTAACGATGGTTGTTCTGTAAAGATTGAGATATAATGTAAGTAATGTATATTATACACGGTGATTAATAATACTTCAATAATTCTAAACTCAATGCAACAGAGAATCAAGCAAACACCACTATATCCAAGCCTAGACTTTATGATATTTCAATTTATAAAATAAAATAAAATGTATTTACACCCTCTCATTACTCCCTTTACCTCCCACTTCTAAGAGGACGTGCAAAGGCGATGTAATTGGAAGATAAAGCTGTACATTTCTTCATAAAGCCTTGGAGTGTAGAGTTTTATGGGATAAGTACAGATGCCTTGTAAGATTGTTAAAGCTTGCTGTAGTGGTTATGGTGCAAGTCCTGCCCTGGCACCCCATTATTATTATTATTATTATTTTAATATTTATAGAGCGCCGTCAAATTCCGCAGAGCTTTACAATGGGTGGACGAACAGACATGTAGTTGTAACCAGACAAGTTGGACACACAGGAACAGAGGGGTTGAGGGCCCTGCTCAATGAGCTTACATGCTAGAGCGAGTGGGGTAAAATGACACAAAAAGGTAAGGATAGTATTAGACTAGTGACAGTTGCAGAAGAGGAATCAGTCAGGAGCTATTAACAGTTTAATTGATACGCTTTTATTAAGAAGTGGGTTTTTAACAATTTTTTGAAGTAGTGGAGACTGGGTGAACATCTAACGGAGGAGGGAAGCGAGTTCCACAGGAACGGTGCAGCCCTCGAAAAATCTTGAAGGCGAGCATCAGAGGTGGGAGTACGGACAGACGATAGACGTAAGTCTTCAGCAGATCGTAAGGGCCTAGACGGGACATCCTTGTGTATAAGGGAGGATAGATAGATGGGAGCAGCATTATGTAGAGATTTGAAAGAAAGAACCAGAATTTTAAATTGAGCTCTATATTTTATAGGAAGCCAATGTAGGGACTGACAGAAGGGTGAGGCATGGGAGGTGCGGGTGGACAGGAAGATGAGCCTCGCCGCCGCATTGTAACGGCACAAGTTGGGAGCACGTAAAAAAACTGGGAAGCGGATTACAGTAGTCAAGGCAAGAAAGGACAGTGGAATGGGCCAACACCGTAGTCGCATCTGGCGTTAAGTAGGGGCGGATGCGCGCAATGTTTTAGAGATGGAAATGACAGGATTTGGCGATAGATTGAACATGAGGCTTAAGGGGGGGTCAGAGTCAAAGAGAACACCTAGACAGCGAGCCTGCGTGGTGGAACTGATGGTAGCACCGTTGACTTGGAGGGAGACAGACACAGGAGTAACAACACTTGAGGGAGGAAAGACGAGAATTCAGTTTTGGTCAAGTTTAGTTTAAGGAAGTGGGCAGCCATCCAGTTAGAAACCGCAGAGAGGCAGTCAGAGATACTAGTCAAGAGGGACGAGGAGAGATCAGGAGAGGACAGGTAGATTTGCGTGTCATCTGCATAGAAATTATATTGGAAGCCAAAGTAGCTAATGAGTTTACCAAGGGAGGCAGTATAGATGGAGAACAGTAGGGGAAACACTGAAAGAGCGCTGGTAGAGGTAGGAGGAGCACCAGGAGAGAGCAGTATCTTGTAGACCGATATTGCTTAGGATGAGAAGAAGTTGTTGATGATCAACAGTGTCAAAAGCCGCAGACAGGTCAAGGAGAATTAGGATAGAGTAGTGACCACGAGATTTTGCAGCGAGTAGATCATTGGATACTTTGGTCAGTGCCGTTTCCACAGAGTGCCTAGCGTGGAAACCAGACTGAAGCGGGTTTAGCAGAGAGTTAGACTCGAGGAAGTCTGTCAATCTCGCATACACAATTTTTTCAAGGATCTTGGAGGCAAAAGGCAGTAGTTGGGGAGTTAGGGTCAAGATTGGGTTTTCTTTAGAATTGGGGTCACAGTTGCATGTTTGAAGGGCAATGGAAATATACCAGAGGAGAGAGAAAGATTGACAATTTTAGTGAGAGGTGGAGAAAGAGAAGAAGACAGAGTACGGATGAGATGCGAGGGAATTGGATCTAGGGAGCAGGTGGTGGGGCGGGAGGGCTGGAGCAGAGCAGAAACATCTTCCAATATAGCGGGTTCGAATGAACATGGAACAGCAGAGGGAGTAAAGTTAAGGGAAGTATTGTAAGGGGAAGAAGAAAGATGAGAGATCTCTTCTCTGATTGTAGAGATCTTGTCAGTGAAGTGAGTTGCAAAGTCTGAGGCGGTCAAGTTAGTAAGTGGAGGAGGAACAGCAGGGTGAACAAGAGAGTTAAATGTGTGAAAGCTGTATGAGCTCAGCATAAATTTATAGTGGAGAAAGTCAGATGCACAGTGAGACTTTCTCCAACCGCGTTCAGCAGTTCTGGAGCATTTTTGGAGGTATTGAGTGAGCTTGGTGTGCCAGGGTGGCTGTTGGGGGGGCCTGCGGTGTTTAAATGTACAAGGTGCCATGATGTTTAGTTGAGAGGAGAGGGTGGAATTGTAGAAGGAGGTTGCAGAACTAGGACAGGTGAGGTTTGAGATAGGTAAAAGGAGAGTTTGGAGATTAGTGGAGAAATGATCTAGGTCAAGACATTGGAGGTTTCTGTGAGAGTGATGTTCAGACGGTGGTGTCAATTGGGTCTTAGGTATGCCAATGTCAAAAGTCAGCAGATGGTGGTCAGATAGAGGAAAAGGAATATTGGAGAGATTAGAGGCAATATAAAGGTTGGTGAAGGCAAGATCAAGAGTGTTTCTTGCTGTATGGGTTGCTAAATTGGACCATTGCGTATGGCTTAAGGAGGAGGTTACAGAGAGCAGACGAGTTGGGGTTGTTTATTGAAATTCCCATATATAAGGGAAGGAGTGCTAGATCAGAGGAAGTGGGGAAGCCAGGAAGAAAAGTCCTCAATGAATAGTCTAGGATAACCGAGGGGGTGGTAGATGATAGCAATTCTTAAAGGAGTGGGTTTAAATAGGCGGACAGTGTGAACTTCAAAGAAGAAAAGGATAGGGCAGGGGGAGTTATGATTGGTTGAAAAGGTACATTGAGGGGGAGTGTGAGAGAATTGTAGCCCACCAAAACATAAAGAGGCAGGAGTAGCGCTATCAGAGGGGGACAGCCAGGTCTCTGTAAGTGCAAGCAGTGTGAGTGAGTTTGAGATGAAAAAGTCGTGTATGGTTGTTGATTTTAAATTACTGCAGATGGAGCGGGCATTCCAGAGTGCACAATTAATTTTGGTAAGTGAGGGTAAAGGGCAGGGTATTGTGATGAGGTTTGTGGGGTTTCTGGTTGTCTTAGTGTGTGTAGAGAAGATGAAGGGCCCTGGATTGGGAGAGACATCACCAGCTGCTAGAAGTAGGAGGAGAGAAAGTGACAGGAGGTGTGAATGGGTTTTGTATGCATGGGGTCTAGGATGAGATCGATTGTGGGTTGGAGTGAGAGAGTAGAAAAATAAGGCATGAAATGAGAGAAGGGGGGAATGTAGCAGAGAAGGGCATATGTAAATGTGGATGGGGGGATGAGTAAAGTGGGTGTAAGGAGAGATTTTTATACTGAGGGAGACTGAGGAAATAAAGAGGAGGAGAAGACAGATCATTGCTAAACTGTGAAAAATAAAAATTGGAGATAATTGGAATATCAAGAGCAGGTGAAGGTGTTTTATGGGTTAAGACGTCAGGTGCTGCTCCCTGCTTTGGCTACCTGCGACGGAGAGCCGGACGCTCCAAAACAGGAACTTCTCTTAGCTCTCCTGATCTCAGCCCGGAGCAAGCCTTGTGGAGCCATTCTAATACAATCTGACTCCTTAGAAAGCAGCCACCAGGGCACTACTGGCACAGTAACAATAATGGCCTGTAGTGGTTATGGTGCTCGGATTGTTTCTTTAAAGTTTAGTCACATCCCGGGATGCTGTACCTCCACAGGTGACTTATGGATCACTATATATAAAAACAGTCGGCAACCAGAATATCTCATGGCCCAGACATACAGCCAAACTCTAAAAAGTAGAACTCTCAAAAATATAAAATACGTGTTCATTGTTACCCATTAATGTTCTTTCAAACTACATACGAAGACAGAACGTTTACCTTTTATAAGAGCCTGGATTCGACTGCGCAACCTGGTTATTTTTTTCTCGCTGCCTTTAAGTTTTTTCCGGACAGCAGCAATATGTTTGGCATTCTGTAACAGTAATAAGAATAGTCAGATAGCTGATTAAACTGTATGGAGAAATATAGGATTAATTAACCTCATTCTAGGAAATAAACTACTTACAACCCAAGATACACGTGGACTATGTTTAGTTTTTATTGATCTCAATCAATGATTTTTACCCAGATATTAAAGTATTATTAAGTCAGTTCCAGGCAATCCTTGTACATAACATGCAGGGACTATAAATCCAGTTCACTTTGTTTCTCTTTCAGTATACGAGAGCCTTTATGGCTCAAAATACAGCAGCGGAATGGTTGCATCTGGGGGGAAAGGCACTAGGCACACTACAGTGCTTCCTTGCAGGCAGACTGAATTATAGACATTACTGAATTAAAAGGTTTAGAATCGGAAAAAAGCAGTCTTAAAAACAAAACAAAAAATACATACATTTTTTCTATTTAGAATTTTGAAAAATGCTTTGTGGGAGATTAAGAAAAGCGCGTGCCTTCAACTATTTAGCTGACAGAGGTGTCGGCAAACTTTTGGAAATCTAGTTGGTAATTTGTATCACCTCTCTTGATTTCAGGAACAAATATCACCAGCAAACTATCAAAAGGACACTGTAGGCACTCAGACCACTTCAGCTCATTGAAGAGGTCTGGGTGCAATGTCCCCTGTCCCTTATCCCTATTGTTCTTAGAAACTGCAACAATTACCTTGCAGGGTTATCTCCCCCCCTAGTGGTTTCTACCAGACAGCCACTAGAGGGACTTCTGAGTGCTTAGGTGACTTTTGGCCATCTAAATGACGCTGTTCGTCCTCACATTCTGCATGCGGACTTCCAGAATCACCGGAATCCCCATAGGGAAATCTTAATGCGAGAGCAGCCATTGCTGCGCATGTGCATTAGGTCTCCTGCGCCGGCCAATGTCGGCGAGAGAGGGGCGTGGGCATAGCCTGACCCAGCACCAAGGGACATCGGCGCTAAATTTAGGAAAGTGACTGAAGCGCCGCGGTAGGGGGGGCGGGAGGGACGGGTCCCAATAGTATTCTATAGTGCCAGGATAACAGCTTTGTTTTCCTGGCACTATAGAATGCCTTTAAATTAGCTTGAATGGTGTCAGGGTATAAAAGGCATGTCCTGTAAAAATAAAAAAGTGTTCTTTCTTTTCAAACTCTATTTCAATGTATTAGACTTACTTTGGGAGGATCATTGGAATATGCTTTGATCATATTCTCTGCTCCATGCTTCACCTTCAGCTCAATCTCCAGCTTTTTCT